AATTGGCATGCTCAACTCAAATGTCCTATAGTATGATGAGCAAAAATAGAAAATAAAGTCGTTAGCACTCACAAATAGGCTAAATGTGTAGCACTTTTATCAATGCACAGCAACAGATGAAATCAGCAGCCCTAGGCTTTCCTCAGCATTTCTGAGACATAGGCTATGTAGTGTTTTTTTGTATCTCTCTTTTTCTCCTTCAAGATACTGCTGATATTTCTCAGGATCTTCCTTGATTTTGTCTCTGTATTTTTTTGATCGTTGAGCTGGTTTAGCTGGGGCGATGTTAACAATGTCAAACAAAAAATTATGTAAATTACAGTTGGTCACTGTTTAATAAGGTATCATTAAGCTATTTCAATAATAATGATATATGGGTGATTCTTCAATTATGGGACTTCTTCTCTCCCCAGGGTAGATTTTCAAGAAAAAATTGTTAGGGTGTCCAATGGTAAATTATGCTAATGTATTCTAGTTATAAGATAATAAACAGATAAGTTGTCATTACCATCACTGATTGTCATTAGCATCACAGCCACTTGTGTGATGGTAATGACAATTATCACTTTTTGGAGCCAAAAGTTGGCTAGGTTTTAGACCTAGCTAAGCTAACTGGTTAGCTAGCATACACTGCACACTGAATATATGTAAATAAAGTGAAATTCCCCATTACTGAATTAAAATACTCAAATAGTAACTTGTTTGGTAATGACGCCTAATAAACATACTCTCAGACCAGGATGTATAAAACTTCAAATTACTTACATTTGTGGGCATGAAAAAGTCAGGCTTCTGCCTCATGACTGGGAATGTTCTTCTGGTACATGTAGTTTGCATGCAACAATGTAAGTAACTGCTTGTAGAAACTTTATTGCTCTCTAAAATGCTGGGTGTGATGGTAATGACAGATGTATGAGGGACAGCAATATTTTACTATTAAAAAATTGAAAATTGAACATGAACTAAATTAATTTGAAAAATGTCTTTTTAAGTTGTTATGATGAAATGTAAAGTAAAGTTTTAATGAATTTAACACTTTTTATTACTTTATTTTAGAGGGGATGTCAAAAAGTCTGGGTTGGGGACAAGCCCAACAGTGAACTCTGGCACATTTGAATTTTCAACACACTGAAAAAGTATTAAAATGTCATCATTGAGACACAATTATTTTTTTCATTGACAACAACCTAATCCTAACAATTTTTTTCTTGAAAATCTATACCCTGGGGAGAGAAAAAGTACCTTAGTTAAAGAATCACCCATATATCATTTATTATTGAAATAACTTAATAATTTTATGTTTAACCCAACACCGACTATTTCTTTTAACTTTTTAAATAACAGGATTTTCTTTCTTCTTTCTCCCCCTCAACTACCCACTCTATTGTTTCAGAATCTGACCAATCCTGTGTGAGCAATAGCACAGTGATATTTGCATCAGGCGGATATAAAATGACCCCCCTGGGGACAGTGACGCCATGCGTTACAGGAGAAATTTGCTGTTCCGACCATGCCTGAAACCACCGTGAAAGCGCCCAAGAAGGGCTCAAAGAAAGCCGTGTCTAAGAGTGTCAGTAATAGCGGCAAGAAGAAGAGAAGGACCAGGATGGAGAGCTACGCCATCTACGTGTACAAGGTGCTGAAGCAGGTCCACCCCGACACCGGTATCTCGTCCAAGGCCATGGGCATCATGAACTCGTTTGTGAGCGACATCTTTGAGCGCATCGCCGGTGAGGCCTCCCGTCTGGCTCACTACAACAAGCGCTCCACCATCACTTCCAGGGAGATCCAGACCGCCGTCCGTCTGCTGTTGCCCGGTGAGCTGGCCAAGCACGCCGTGTCTGAGGGCACCAAGGCCGTCACCAATTACACCAGCTCCAAGTAAACAGTCTTGTTGTCTCTGAGACTAAACCAACGGCTCTTTTAAGAGCCACCCACTTTATCTGAAGATCAATCCTGTTGTCGTGGTGATACAGTTATGAAAAACTTACACCAGGCCAATTCTATACATGCCAAATACGACTTTTATGGTGTACAGACTCAATACTCAATTTCTGTATTGACACATCAACAAAACCTAAGACAGAACTGTTTTGTTGTCCTGAATAATCCATCTGATCTTTAAACAAATCCAACAAACTTAAACAAAACTTAACCATTAATAGTGTAAATATTACAATATATTATGTTTAGGTTTAGTTGAATCATTTAATGGTAAATTCAGTCCTTTTCCAAATTGTTACAATCTCACAATTTCTGGATAGGTAGTTGTCAGGTATGAGAGATGAAGGAGACTAGGATATAAAGCCTCAGATTAAATATAGATTTGCATATCCTTCTAATGGAGATTTGATACCAAACAAGAATGCTGTTTACCAACTAAGGAGCATCCTCAGTATTGGTTTTCGTTTGTGTTTTATTTTGACACAATTCCTACATCAGGCAGATGGATAATAAATAAAACTTCTCTCTGGAACAACTGTGATGAACTTATCAGAAACAAATATTTATCCTTTCATACATGGTTCCAAAGAGATAAATTATTTCTTTGATGAATTTGGCATGAACAATGAATAGTTTGTCTATACACAGTTTTTCCAGTTCCTTTCAGATAATTCATTTCTTTGACTCTTGCTTTTCTAAATGTGTTAACTCAACTTA